AAGTAAGAACTCGTGTGGAGATTTCCTCCTCTTCTCTCAAGATCAGAAACAAAAAAAAACCCAAGGTAAGATTTCGAACTATACCTTCCAGATCTGGGATCTTTGTTGAGGAGTAGAATGATTAAGTCTACTACCTTCTTCTAGGGAAGATTCGCCGCTGATCTTGGTGAGGAAAACGGACGAAACGACGAGATCGGAGAGACTACCCAAGAACGGTAAGGATTTGACCGGACTCTTTCCGACGCTCATAACTCACCTTATGACTAAACAAAATCAAGAAAGAAATACTAGCACGTAGGTAGATAGATGATCTAAATCGTTGTTGAAGAAACCATTTCTGTTTGGATTGAGAATCGAAAAACAGAAAATGGAGAGTACCTCGGAAACTAACCGGAAAACTTTGATTCTCTGCTAGGAGGAGGGAGAAAACCGCCGGCGTACCACGTGGCAACCAGCTAGAGGGCCGCGTGCGCCAATCGCCCCCGGACACGCGTCGAGCGCCGCCTGGGAAAACGCGGCTCCAGCTCTCCTGCAACACGCGTCTCTGGCTACGCGACCCGGACCCGCGACCCGCGACCCGCGACTGCAGAAATCTCTGGGCGCGTGACACTCGCGCGTGGGATCTGCGAGTGGCTGCTCCCCGGCGTGTGACTGGCGCGTGGAGGCGCGTGTAAGCTGATTTTTGGCCCGAACGACTTATGTTTTCCCTAGTTTCCCCCTGATTCATATCCTAACTCCATTTGTTTGTATGAAATAGGACCTTATTGAGGAAAAATCACCCCCTCTCGATACGCCAAGTGTGTGGAAACGCTGCGTAAGGGCACGTAGCATCCAAGTAAGTCGCCACACGGGATTTAGGAAGTAATACTTGTAGGAACCGCTTGGGATGCATGCATGCTAGTTTGAATTACCTTAGGTTGTAGCTTTCCGTAATGTTCTTGGAGGAATAGATTATTGAAAATAAGATGTATGCTGTGATTTGTTATGAGCGTTACTTGGATACTGCTTATATGCTTTTAGTTCCCATTTTATTTCATGCATATGTATATCTTTTTGCTGAATGGAGGATGTGTGTTTGAGGTTTTTGGATAATAGTAATGTACGTACTCGGCTATTTTCATGGCCACCTTTATGAATGAGACTAGTAGACTATGGTTAGAGCGACAAGCCATCAAGGGATAGACTTAACCTTTCCCTAATAGTTTAACAGACCATCACGGCACATGAAACATCCTTAGAGTACCCTTAGGCTACTTGTGTGTGGATGGTGATATAGCTTCGTGGGGGGACCAGCGGGTTCCTGATCAGGACTCGACTGCTCGATAGCCGTTTAGTATGGGAAACGGGATACCCACGTCGTAATTGACCGTTTAGCTGGATGGAATAGGGGAGGTAGCCCTCCCAAATACAGGGGGATTATCATGGGTCTAGGGGGTTGCAGCTCACTTCCTAGGCAAGACCCCAGATAATCTCATACCCATGCCGAGGTAGCCACTCGTAAGGCACCAGTCCAACACAGGTTAGCATAAAAGGAACTCTATGCGTTTAAATAAAAGGTCTAAGAACCAAAGAAGTCCAAAGGGATAAGTTCCAAGAGAGTAAGCCCTAATGAGGTAAGGCCAGATTCAGTTGTTCTAGAGCCAAAGGAAAGTCCGTGATCGTCTGCTAAGTTTAGGGTGCGATAAGAGCCTACAAGTAGGTGGCTTACTGAGTATAATTTTTATACTCATTCCTGTTATACCTTTATTTTTTTCAGGTACGTGAGGCGTCGAGTCAAGAGAGGGCGCGTCGATCGATGTGGGTTGTCACAGAGGAAGCGTGTCCCGGGGCGTCAGTCTAGTATATTGAATAGTTCACTTTGACCTTAATGTTTCTTTTCTTGTTTTTACCTGGGCACTTATGTCCTTTTAATAAAGATACGTTTTTCTTTGAAACAAATGACTTCCTTGAATTTCTCGTTTATACATTACATGTCATACAATGTTAGTCACGGCTTAAGGATTATGTTTTTTTTTCGGGTCGTGACACCTCATGATTTTAAAACGTGTCTGAACCATTGTTCTTGATCTCTAAAGAGACAAAAATTATAATATGTTGGATGGACCACTGCCATGTGGCTAGAGCATGATTAACAACAGATGATTGCTCTTAGCAAGGCTTGCCCTGGCTGGCATGGTTGCATGGCGGTATGACAGATCGACAAACTTTTTAAAAAGTTACAACAAAAAGATTGTGAGATCCCATATCGGTTGAAGAGAGGAACGAATCATTCCTAAGGGTGTGGAAACCTCTCCCTAGTAGGTGATCTTGATTCCTAAGGGTGTGGAAACCTCTCCCTAGTAGGTGATCTCGATTCCTAAGGGTGTGGAAACCTCTCCCTAATAGGTGATCTCGATTCCTAAGGGTGTGGAAACCTCTCCTAAGTGATCTCTCCCTAGTAGGTGTTTTTAAACCGTGACATCGGTTAAAGAGAGGAACAAAACATTCGTTATAGATGTTTATTCCTTGTAGATGTGAAAACATCTCCCTAGTAGATGCATTTTAAAACCGTGGCGATAACAAAGCAAACAATATCTACGGGTATGAATCACAAATTTTAAGTTTATTAAGATGAACCTGTATTAGAAGTGATTGGTTAAGATGGATCCAGTTTCTGTTGAACACTTGAGTTCAGTGTTGTTATTAACATTCATACCTCCTTTCACACCAAACATCTGAACTCAATAATAGTTTAGATCAATATCAATGATTCCCCTATTGTACAACCAAAACTCCCAACATAGATGGGCCAATTTAACGTTGTAAACCTACTACTCAGACATCATGTACACACAGAAATGGAAGGCTATCACAACCAACCAACCAACCAACCAAATCACTGCCTCTCGTAACCGGGACAAGAGACAGAGATCTTTTTGGATGATGATGATGATGCCTTCTTAAAAGTGGGAGCCTTGGGAAGAGTATAAGCAGATTTGTGGGTGTCCAACCCTCCTGCATAGCTCTTACATCCGCTTAATCTACTGCTGTAAGGGCTTCTCTTCTTCGGAAGGTCTTCTATGCTTCTTACACTTGATAGCGATGTAAACGACTGGGATTTCCCTTCATAGAACATGGACAGTCCTCTCCTACACAAACAAACGCTAGTTTCTGTTACAAATTTGAATTCTTTTATGGAAGGAAAGGGAATTGGAAGCATCGCATCAACACAACAACACTTACTTGATTGGGAGTTGGGCAAAAAGCTCTGTAAAATCCTCCAACGCTCCATTGGATGGAGATGAAGAATTTGAAGTGGATGAACACGCATCATCCGACGAATTGCTTGAATCTTCGAAGGAAGATGTGGAAGAGGCAAGGTTGTAGTCATACTCACCGCCCTTGCCCCAATCATCTTCATGGAACCCTTTGCACAGAGCAACAGAACAAGGTTGATGAAGCAATCCACCCATATTCAAGAAGAAGATGAAGAACAGCAGCAACACAAACAGAGAGAAACAGAGAAAAATCCAGAAATTGATAAAGGATGCTTTGATGGGATAAGCTTTTGATGTATTTATATTATATATAAGATAACCCTTTCAACACAAACAGCCTTCGAGTCTATGACATTTCTTGTGGAACATTTATAGGCAGCAAGAGAAAATTCCAAGTTCTTGCTTATTTTTTATTTTAAATTAATAAATAAATAAAAGACGGGGGGATTGATGGCCTCACATGAAAAGGCATAGAATTCCCAAACCACCAAACACCCAAAAGCAAAAATGTCAACCATGAGGCATGAACGCACATAGACTCTATACACTCTATAATTTAGTTTTTATAATTTTAAATGTTAGGATTTGTAGATAATCTATATAGTAGAGGCTATTGACGATCGTTTTATCAAATTATAAAGACTATTTTTGAAGTTATATCACGTAATTCTAACTTTTAAAACTATAGGAACTAAATTCTGACTTTCTCCATGCTATAGAAATGAACTCGTTTTCATAAGATTCTTCGTTATCTCGTGGGGGTATGGTGGGATGGTATGAAAAGGAATAGATTGAGGTTTGAAAAGTAAGGGATAAGCTCAAAAAGATAAGAGATAAGCATCCAACAATCCACATACGAAAAAAGGGTCACTATCATCCTTCATTTCATATGAAATTTTGAAAAGAAGAATGTTTGGTCAAAAACAAGAACACGTGGGCAGTAGTAGATGGATGCGCATACACATTTGGTTGGTGGGGGGAACCACCATTTTTCAATTACACAATTAAATTAAATACAAAATATATTATTTTAGTACCCAAAACAAAATCCTTTACAAAAAATAAAGAATAAATATTACTTTTCAAAAAATAAAATACGCCATACTTATGGGTCCCTTTTCGGCTGTTCAAATTTGGAAATATTTTTCTGATAATTTAGAATCACCTTTTATCATTTTCCCTTTTTCTTTGATAATCTAGAATCATTTTTTTTTTATCTTGTCGCTTTAAAATATTATTAAAATCAATATTTTTACACATTTTATAAAATTTAAATAAATAAATATGATTTGCCATCAATATAAAACATATGTAACTCTCTTCGGTTTTTTGTGCTTGTAACTTTTGAGAATATTGTTGTTAAGAACAAAATATATTAGAGAATATTTGGAAGATAATGGTGCCGTAATTTATGCCTTTGATCGTAAACATTGCAGCTGTATACTTCTCCTTTTGTATCAAATTCATTGTATTTTGAGTTGAATTTAGAGATTTAATCTATGGATAATCAGAAGATCACAATGCTTGTCCACATTTTCTTCGTTTAAAACATTATGAACCCTAAAAATGCTCGAAAGAATCAAAACAAACCTCCAACAAAAGCCAGTGGCGATTGCGAACTGATCTTTACGGGATCCAAACAATCGTGTGTGACATTGTTGTTTAGTAATTCAATGTTGAAAAATCTTTGGTTTGGATCGGATTCGATTCGAGTAATTTAGAATTAAAAGAGGGAGAGGAATGTGATGTAGGGAAGATGATTGTTGAGAAATCAATGGGAGATGAATCACAACTGCCCACCTTCCCTTGAGGATTGGATGTTGCAGGGAACTCTTTCGGAACAGAGTGCACTGAGATTAGCACTACGCCGATACACACAATCCCTGCTTTTCAACCTCTAATGGTCTAAATCGGAGTCATTCAAGGATAAAATAATTTAGCAGGAGAACCTGAATCCAAGCAGACGGCGGAAGAACAAGGAGAAATCTGAAAAATAATGCCCATCTCAATCCTTTGCGGTGGCCTGATTATATAGAGGCAGAGCCGCAGCTAGGGTTTTGAAGATTCATCCTTACACGTTCATAATTACGAAAATGCCATATAACCAATGAATAAATAATATTTACATTATTAACCTTCACACAAATAAACAAAATAATGCTTACTAAATTAATAAAAATATTTATAAAATTTATATTTTATCTAAAAAGTTTCAATTGAAAGACTAATAAATCTCATATTATCACCCTTTTATTTCCCAAAAAAATGAAAATATTCTTACGATTATTAATATATGAACGAAAATTGTCTATCTACCACTCATATAGATTATTTAAAGTGTTCTGTGAGTATTTTTGAATTCAGATACTTTTTTGAATGGAACAGAAATGAAAGTGATCACAAATTTCAATATTTATATCAAAACCAAAAACAGGGATACGTACAACAAGCTCATACGGAAATGAAAGTAATGTATCCGCAAATACACACAAAAATATAAGCCAAAATACACGGAATGGGTAGAAATCAGCGACCAAAATTGACCACACTCTTGCTATTCATCCGGATTCTTCACATCGTTACTTGTGTAACAACTGAGTTCACAGCTATAAATAGCAGGACACCAGCTAAAAGTCCCAATTATGAGTAGAAAAGAAGACGAATGAAATTAAGATGAAAATTACATGCCTTGATCAATCAGGTAATCTCCCAACTTCTCGACAATCATGTTGCACTGTCCTGGAGTCATGGGTTCATCATATAACCCAAAAACGAGTGCTTGGTTTGTTTTCTTTACAGTGAGCCCAGAAGTGCCCTGTCAAATGGATGAAAATAAGAAAGATAAACACACAAATCACCCAGAAAAAGCGATGTTCCAAGAAAGCTTCATCACAAGAGAAGCTGCCACTCATGTTTTGTTGATTTGTTGAAAGAAGTTGACAGCCTATGAAATATATCATCAACATTGAGGATCGACTATAATAACATTCAAAGACAACCATGGGAAGATTTCAGGTGCCAAGGCGAACCTTCTTTCCACGGATAACAGCTCCAGATTCCCCCTGGATAACCATGTACTTTGATCCAGCAAGGTGCAAACCAGTCGGGGCAAGAGATCCAGGCTCATCAAAATCCTTCATAATGGCAGACATCTCTTCTGGCTTGAACTACAATAATCGCCCAAAGAAGACAAATATTTATTCGTCCGAGATACTACTACTAGCCAACAACATTGCGAATACGAAGTTTCCAATCGCTTAACAATAAGAACAACTGCGAATACGAAGTTTCCAATCGCTTAACAATAAGAACAATTGCAAACACGAGGTTTCCAATCCCAACACAACTACACATATCTGAAACAGATTTCCTCAAATTCCTGCTGGAACTAAACATAAATTTCAACTTTCTGATCCATATTCTTACATACGCTCATTGCAAGTTAACAAGAACCAAAACAACAGAAAATAATCTGGAATCATCTCAACAAAGCAATCAAAAAACCTACAAAACTGAAGGTTCAGTAACACTCTGATCATAACAAACGATGTAGACGATCGATTTTCGGCATACTCACGGAGCCTGATGGATCAAAAACGCCTAAAACAACAGAAAGGATGGGGAGAAAAAACAACAATGACATAGAATTATTTCGGAACAAAACGAGAAATGCGGGATTTGATAAGAGGAAAGAGGAAAACCTTGGGGAAAGCGGGGCTCTGAGCCCAAACAGCACCGTCGTTCCCGATTATAGCAGCGGCTTGGAGATGATGGCCATCGACATCATACATCAATTGATCATCAATGTAAGATTGCCACGACATTTTGGATCTGAAGCAATCAAATTCCCTCTGTATTTTTCGTTTTTTCTGGCTCTTTCACAGCTTCCGTGTCGTTCGAACCTGAAGTTGGGAGAGGTTTATATATGGTAGTGTTTGGAAGTTGCAATTTGCAAAAGCGCTTTATTGTGGGACCCGCGGTAGGACCGGATCCGTATGATTGAGTTTTGGTGGTCCCACGTAACGTATTGTGAGCCGTTGATTTCGATTTAATCGAACGAGTGTTAATCCACAAGACTCGTTCGGAGTCGGACCCAATGAAACGTGGCAGATGGGAGCTCTGATTCGCTGTATCCACAATCATTTTCCCCATGCAATCATAGCCGTCCGATAGTCTTGCCTGCCTTTGGTGGGTCCCACCTTCTTAGAATTGTTTGTAACCTCGACTAAATAATAGAAAATACTTGAACTTTATCCTTTATTTAAAAAACATCCCTCAATTTCCAAAACTTCAAAAAAAAAAAAAAAACTTTTTTAGATTAAATTTTTAATATTTTGCTTAAAACTAAAATTCATGTTTAGTTGAGGCCAACCATATAATAGTGAAGACAAATACAAAGGTAAAACGAAGGTTCTCTAAAGAAGTGAGACTTTTGATTCATATATTTTAAGCTTTCCGATTGAAAGTTTGTAAAGACGAAGGCTTTAAATGGTTGAAAAGGTGACCGTGATGATACCACACCCATATAGGTGAGGGTAAAGGCAAGGGTCATGCAAGAAATTCCTAACAATTGGGACCAAACTTTTATATATATATATTTAGAATAAGATTAGATTTTGATGGGTTTGCGTTATGCGACTGCAAAATAGAGGAAGGAAGGGATGAAAAATGAAATGAATTGTTTGGAAAGCAAGAAAAGGGGCAACGAAGAAGTTGGTAAGAATATTGAACAGCTTCCCAACACTGGATGTTCATCAAAATATCAACAAAAAAATTGATGTGGATGCCCCTTCACTCTTCTAAATTTAGGGTCACAGAGTTTTGGAGGTTGTGTTATAAGCTGCAGAAGAAGAATGTGTTGGGGGAATGGGGAGTGTTTTCTTGGGAGGCCCAACCCTTCCATGCACGCACCGAATCTTCAACGACTCCCTCTTCGCTTGACGAAACTCATTTCTCCCCATTAAAACAAAACCCTTCCCTTCACTTCTTCGCCTTTGGCTTTCCTTTCCCATTTCTTTAATTTCTTCATTCTTTGTTCTGCTTTTTTGTTCTTCGCCTTAATCGCCCAAAAGGGTAACTCCCATTCTTCCTTTTTCAAAACCCCATTGCGGTTGTTTTGCGTCTCTTCCCCTTTTCGAGTTTTGTTTATTTTTTTTCGTTCTTTCTTTCTTGGGTTTCTCTGAAAATCATTTTCGTTCGACGGTTTGAGGGGTTGCTTATCATTGGGAATCTGAGATGCTATTTTTCTCGTTAGAAACCTGGTTCTTGGCCTGAATTTCGTTCCTTATCATGCGTTTTTCGGATTTTACGATTTGAAGTCCCACAAAATCATTTTTCACGGATAACCCCCACTTTGCGGTCCTGGGTCCTTTGATTTGCGATTTCCTCATCGGCATTGTAATCTGGGTCGCTGTATTTTCTGTACTTTTCATCAGCTCTGTTTTCGATTTCTCTGCTTTATTACAGAGCATGGGTTGTGTTCTGGGAAAGTGTTGTACTTGCAATCGCTACACGGCGTCTTCTGAAAGCGATACGGCCCAATTCTGTGATGCCTCGCCGTGTGGTTCACGAGGGAAACATATACTAACGGGAAGGTCATTGGAGTGTGTTCGTGTGCCTTCTCACAACTACTATATGGAGTACTCGCTCCTGACCCAGCGCGGCTACTACCCTGATTCCCCTGATAAAGGAAACCAAGATAGCGTCTGTGTTAGTACGAAAATTCGAGGTAACCCAAATATCCATTTCTTCGGTGTTTTTGATGGGCATGGTCAATACGGATCGGAGTGTTCGAATTTCGTTAAGGAAAGGGTTGTGCAAATACTATGTAAAGATTCAGCGTTGTCGCAAGATCCCGTTAGAGCCTATAATGCGGCTTTTTTTACCACGAATGATGAATTGCATAAGAGCAAGATCGATGATTCCTTGAGTGGCACAACTGCTATTACTGTTCTTGTTGTTGGAAATATGCTTTACGTTGCGAATGTGGGTGATTCGAGGGCTGTGATAGCTGTTAAAGATGGGAATCGAATTATTGCTAAGGACATGTCCAATGATCAAACACCTTTTAGGAAGGATGAATGCGAGAGAGTAAAGCTGGCCGGGGCTACTGTGATGACAATTGATCAAATTGAAGGGCATAAGGATCCGGGTATTCAGATATGGGGTGATGAGGAGAGCCAGGGAAATGATCCCCCTCGGCTGTGGTTGCCTAATAGCTTCTATCCTGGTACTGCATTCACTCGGAGTGTTGGAGATAGTACAGCCGAGAAGATTGGTGTCACTGCTATCCCTGAGATTTCAGTACTTCAGCTCACTCAAAACCATCTTTTCTTCCTTGTTGCAAGCGATGGAGTGTTCGAGTTCCTTACGAGTCAAGCAATTGTCGATATGGTACATATCTCAACTCAGTTCACCTTTAGTTTCAATGTTTGGTTAACGACATTTCCTACAGGATTTTCTTTTGTTGTTATTAGTGTAATTTATGCATGCTTTGTTATTTCTGAAAGATCATTCCTTCTTAATTGTGAATGTTGTATTGTTATGTACTTTCTTCATTTAGGCCGCGAGGTACACCGATCCACGAGATGCCTGCGCTGCCATTACTGGAGAGTCATACAAGCTATGGTTGAGGCATGAAAACCGGACAGATGATATAACAATCATCATCGTTCACATCAAAGGCATCTCTGATGTATGAAAATCTGTCCATATCTAAGCTGAATGTCTGTTGTTTGCCTCTTTACTAACATCTGTGATCATGCTGATGTAGAATAATACCGATGAGGAAGCTTGGTAGGAAGTGTAACTTTCTTGGAACTAGAGTTAGCAATAGACTACTTATAACAACCCTAGCCCACTGCTAGCAGATGTTGTCTGTTTTAGCACATTACGAATCGCCATCAGTCTCATGGTTTTAAAACGTGTCTAATAGAGGAGAGGTTTCCACACTCTTATAAGGAATGCTTCGTTCGAGTTATAACACTCGTCCATATGGTGCTAATCATGTTTCTCTCGTCTTTTGGGACCTGATGACTAAACTGAGCTGCGTAAATTTGCTTTTGTTTTTGGTTTAATAGTCATCCTAGTTGCTGCATTCAGTACCCTTCCGGATGTTTTCCTCTTTTATGGTACTTATGTGGAGTAAGTTATTTATTTCAGCTTCATTGTGATTGCTGTTGTCTGGTTTCCATATAGTACTAAATCATGTTTCCCTCTTCATTGGTGCTAGTAAAACTAGTTGTGTGAAATCTTATTATCCTTCTGGTTTAAACTTCATCCTAATTGCTGTAGTCAGATGCTGTTGCAACTGCTGGGCTGAACGGGGTCCATTCAAGGCATAGAGTTATCGAGCGGGGAGCCTCCGAGAGATCAGCCTTCGCTGGAAGTTCGGAGGCCTTTCGATCCATCAGAAGTGATTTCTCAGATGCGTCAATCTCCCAGCATCATGTGGGTTTGATGCACAGAAGCACAGCAATTGTAGTTCCATCTCCTTCTCAGCACCGACCATTGGAAGTGGTTAGTATTTTAATTTCTATCCATTTGGTACAAAAGCTCTTAAAACCAATGGATACCTTCTTCTCATGCTGTTCAGGCTTAACAACCTATCATCTTTGATCACAGGAAGTGGGCTAAGGGTATGTCATGTCATCCCCTTGCTGCCGAAAAAGTTGCTCGTTTCATCGGTCACGAGAATGAATCCTTGTAACCACAAGAGTACGTATGTCCTATCTTAGAGTTGCTTCGAGTTGATTGAATCAAATTATGGTATACTCAGAAATGTCGACCCAACCGACGTGTGGGAGAAATCAATGACATTTCCCATTGAACGGAATTCAGAGAGGAAAATTGACATAAAAATATACATTCACGTCCCGAAAATTATATATATATTTTTTTTCACTAATTAGTTATGTATTGTTTTAAATATTTAGACGCATATAATGGTACTGTAAGATAATATTCTTTCATCAAATAAAAATATTCACAAAATTTATTATTTTGGTTTGATTATCACTGCACCTGTGGCGACACAGAATCGAAGATGGTATAGAATAATTTAGCCTTCTTAGTTTATCTAAATCATTACAAGATTTAAAGATGTGAAGGGAAAAAATGGGCAGGGTAACATTCAAATAAATAGGTCAAAAACTCCTCCACAACTCACAAGGAGCAACTCAATGAATTGAAAACAAACAGATAATTTTACATCTGATAAGACTTCCATTATTCAAAATTTTATTGCGAATGGTGGAGCGGAGTTGAAACTGCTTCCGTGGCAAAGAACAACATGAACACAAGTATCAGAAATGGTGAGCTTTAAAATGTGCAGGTATCTCATTTGCTGTGAAATCTGCTGTTAACAGACTCGTAGGTCGGGACATTAATAACTGCAACGATGACAATGAAAATTCAAGATGTCAGTCATTAAGATGTAATTACATCAAGAATGGTTAGTTCGTCGAAGATTACCATCTCCATAGGATGCCATTGTTAGAGGAGACGATATAACTTTCTGGGCAATGTTAGTAATATCGTTCAAAGTGATCGAGTCTACAGCTTTTAAGAAGTGTTCTACAGGTTTCCTGCAATATTAAAAAACATGACCCTATAACTTAATATTGCAGAGGATAAGGTCCATGGAGTTACAAAGAAATAAAAAGAAAGTTGGAAGTATGCAAATGTTTTAGAAGAAAAAACGCCTAAAAATTTAAAGGTAGGTTCAATCATAAGATATACCTCTCTCCATATGTTAAAATCTGCCTTCCAATATCCTCGGACACTATCATCTGCAAGACATAAGGTGTTAGCTTGCTTTTATTTCTCTGTTTTTCTTTATTTCATTCTCTTTAAAAGGAAAGGTTCCGCTGTAAGTTCATGAGTAAATAAA